GACTCCAACTTCCTCTTACTCTGGGGCCATTTCTCTGTGTTACCTAATGAATGAGCCATCGAGTGAATAAACTCAAATCTCGTGTGTGTGCTTGCCACCCCATCATCCCTCGCGCACCAGGAGAGATGGTGCCTCTTTCTTGGCTGTAGTGGGATTTGTCCTCCCTGCTGTGGTCACAGGTAATGTGTGAAAAAAAGAGTGGGCGAGGCGGCATCTAAAGAGAAAACCGAAAGGGCACCTGAGTGGCTCAGTCAGTTAAGCGTCTGACTTTGGCTTAGGTCGTGATCTCATGGTTTGTAAGTTCCAGCCCCACGTCAGGCTCTGTGCTGACAGCTGGGAACCTGGAGCCTGCTTCACGTCCTGTGTCTCCCTCCCTCTCTGCCCCTCCTCCACTGGTGCGCGCGCTCTCTCTCTCTAAAAAATAAATAAATAAACTGTAAAAAAAAAAAAAAAGAAATAAAAGGAAAACTGGAGCCCTAGAAAAAGGCTGTCTCAAGCTGAGAATGTGTATATATGAAATAGGCTCTGGGCTATGAGGCAGAGGAGTTTCACTATATTCTGCGCATCGGCCATCCATACTAGGTTCCATCCACAGGTGCCCAGAGCTGGAAGATTAACCAAGTGCCCTTTCCAGTCGATACTAACCTCTCCCTTCTTTAATTTCCCGCTGCAGTTTGCATCAGCCCACGACTGACCTTCAAGTTGTTCTTGCATTGTTTCAAAGGAATTCGGTATGCCTCTTAAATGCCAGGAAAACCACAAGGCAAATTCTACCTCCTGAAGCCTTTCTTGATTATCCCAGTCTGGGGTGATCTCTCTCTCATTATCCCTACCATCACATTGGTGATAATCACATTCTGGTTTGTGGCAGCTTTTCTTGTGTTGCCTTGAATTACGATATATTTTTTAGCATCAAGGTTTACTCTTTCCTCCCCACAGATTTGTCTGACATGTCTTGAGATGCCCAACTGCATACAGCACACAGTGCCAGGCAATATAACCTCAGTGGCTCAGAACCTGGGCTCCAGAGTCAGATACGTAGATATGAATTCCAGCTCTGCCACTGACTAACTGTGTGACTTGTTCCTCGGCCTCTAAGTATCTTCCTTATCTATAAAATGAGGACAAGAGTGGCACCTACTTTACTGGGCTGTTATCAGGAATGAGACAAATGCATGGCAAGGGCTTAGCCCAGTTCCTGATGGTGTTATAAGTGCTCAGTAAATGTCAGCTATTAGGATGTAAGTGCTTAGTAAATACCCACTGATTGAATGGCTATAGCGGAGAGAAACTTTAATAGAGGGCTACTCTAGAGTGGCGTGAACCCCTGAAAAGGGGAAGGACAGATTCACAGACCTTGTCCAACAGGCTGCACAGGACAGGTCAAATATTATCATGGCACTGAGGGTTTACGTTGAGGTGGGAGAAATGTAAGGAAGAAAGGGCACACCTGAGGTTTTATAACGCAAATAAATTGTTGGAATATTATTAATCCATTCAACAAGTATTTACCGTGGTATTGCAGGAAAACAAGAAATTTCCTTTCTTGGACCTAATGAAGAATGTGATATCCAGGGCATTTCACTTCTTTTCCATATTAATGCATCAAGCTGTTCTAGTTCAAGCCTCTATGGCTTTTGACCTGAATCAGTGTGATTGTCTCTTAACTAGGCTTCACACCCACCCTGCTCTTTTCCTTACCAATACACTGAGCAGAGTTAGTCAGGTGAGTTTTCTAAAATACTTGAAAACTTTATTCCCTTTCTGAAAAGCCTTACTTGCTCCCTGCTGCCAGGGTGTTCTGTCCCTCCTGGACACCCGAAGCTTCTCACACATCCAAGTGTATTGAGGACGGTCTTCCCTGGCTACCTATCTAGCAAATGCTTTCTCTCCCTTTATGAACCAGCTCCAGGATAAGTGCCCCTGAGAAGCCCTCCATGTCCATCAGAGCCCAGCTAGAAATACAGAAACCACCTTCTCTATTCAAATAGAGTGAATTTAGTATAGGGCATTGGTTTCCAGGTGATGGAAAAACCAGGGGACAGTGAGGCAAAGCAGAGATTAGCACCAGCAAGAAGCTGCTACCACTCCCAGGCTAGAGGTGCAAACAGGTTACCAGATCCCAGGGGCTGGGATCGCCCTGCTGAAGCTGGATCCCAATGGGCCTGTTCAGTAGGAGGTGGGGTTATGGCAGAGACACAGATGCTTTGCAGATTTTGAAAACAGCACTCCAGGCAGGGAAGGAAAGAGAGATACCCTGACTCTCCGCTCTCTCCCATCTTCCAGTCTGTCACCATTGCCTCTCATTGGTTGAACCAGCCAGAAGCCAGCTGACACTGGTCTGCAGGAGTTCCCTACTCCCACCCACAAAACAGAGCAAAGCCAAGGAAGAGTGAGGAATGGGGCTGCTCCCTGTCCTGAGTCCCTTAGGCAGATTGTCATAGTCTCTTCTCTGCTCCCTCAACTCTGCCCCATCTTTTTTATAGCCCTGATATACTAGGCTGTGATTTCTGTGTTTTTAAGTCTGTTTTCCTTAAAGGATTGTGTAATTCCAAGGGGTTAGACAATGGCCTATTCATCTTGGTATCCTCAGTTCCTGGCATAGTTCACAGTACATAACAGATATTTACTTTCTGTTGGATATCTACTAAAAGGAAACTCCTAGAGTCACCTCTAGCTAGCCCTCCTCTTCCATCTTCTTGCTTGATTCATGCACCTTGACTGAACTCTCAGCACTAAAGAATGAATAAGAAGGAGCTTGGGGTCCACTCAACTCTCTGGGTCTGCAATTCATAGCCTTACATTTAAATGCACCCAACAACAAATCACAATAATAATTTATACTCAGAGCGCCATCAACATATTAACCTTCTACCTTCCCATAGCTACATGAAAATTATCCATGTAAATTCCCTCCAAATCTCAAGATACCATCCCTCCACCACCCAAGATGTTTCTAGGCCACCTCTCCCTTCTGTTAATCAGTGTGTGCTCAGGGTAAACAAACTAATTTTAAAATCAGCTTAAGCAAAACATAATTAGGAAGATAAATTAGCTGCCCCCCCCCTAAATTGCATAATGAATGCCCAAGGAGAAATTTTTATTATCTACCATTTCTATTATCTGTGTAACATTTTCTCTTCCATCATTGTAGATGATACTCAGCTGACAGTGTACAGAAATACCACAGAACTTCACTTCTGACCTTGACTGTCTGTACAATGATTACCAAAGGAGAAAACTGGCTATTTGTGTTTTTGTTTTTCTTATCTTGAATTTATAACACCAGCCTAGTTGGAGAGGGAAAGAGGTCTATAATTATAGTCAGACAATCAGGGTTCAATTCTTGGCTCTGATTTATTGCTGTACAATCATGGACAAGTTAGGTCAACTCTGAAAAATCAGTTTCTTCACATGTTAAATAAGGAGGATGATAATGCCTATCTCATGGACAATCACAGCCACACATTCTTCCTCTCTGGCTCTAAGCACTTCATAAGAATTGATTCCTCTAATCTTTGCCATGAATGACTTACCGTTATTTTTTATTTTACACATAAGGAAACAGGCAAAAAGATCAAGCAACCTCCTCAAAGGGCTGTTGTATAAAGTGAGTGTGATTTGGTACATTGAAATCATTAAGTAACTGTTTCAAACATAGTAGGTGCTCGATCAATTTTTTCCTTTACAAGCCCCCTGCCCAACCCATCCCCCACCAAAATAACTAGTGTGTATAGAAATTGGTTTGTTATTGAAGTTCCTTTGATAAGAGGCCTGGATCCTTCATTCCTAGTTTTGCATTCCCTGTACTGTGTAAAATGAAATATCAGACCGTATCAGCAGCTACCAATCAGTGGCCTGTGAGAGGAATCCGGCCTGCAGTTACTTTTGCTATCTTGCATAATATTTATATTTAAAGTTTTTTTAATGTTTATTTATTTTTGAGAGAGAGACAGAGAGAGGAGAGTGCAAGCAAGGGAGAGGCAGAGAGAGAGGGAGACACAGAATCTGAAACAGGCTCCAGGCCCTGAGCTGTCAGCACAGAGCCTGACACGGGGCCTGAACTCACGAGGCGCGAGATCATGACCTGAGTTGAAGTCAGGTGCTCAACTGACTGAGTGAGTCACCTAGGCGCCCCAATATTTATATTTTTTAAAAGTAGCTGCTAACATTAAAAAATCAGTAGGTTTCTGTCTGTCTGTTTGTCTGTCTCTCTCTCCCACACACACACTCACTCACTCACTCACGAGGCTTCTCTTGAAAAACCAACTCATATGGCCACATGGACTCTTACTCCCACAGGTGAACATTCATTTCAAGTTGAGTGTGGCCACCTCCTTTCACACGGGACACAGATTTCCCAGTTTGCCATAGTCCCCACTTCTCACAGCTTCTTGCAGACATACGGGTCTTTCTCCTTTCCATCACTAAAAGTCCATGATTCCCTGACACCTGACAGCACTTGCCAGAGGAAGCATCCACTGTAGGGCACCATAGTTTTTCACTGAATGTTATTGTCACCCAATTCATTCCAATTTAATTAGGACTTACCCCTTACTACCATTTTTTTAGGCTTAATTATTTGAGACATAGAGAGAGCACAAGCGGGGGGGAGGGGCAGAGAGAGAGAGGGAGACAGAATCCCAAGCAGGTTCCACAACCCCTTTTTAAACTGAAAGTCCTGCATCCAGGAACTCCTTGGTCCCAGGCAAACCAGGCTGGTCATTCTGTGTCACACCACAAGATTAGCCCCACAGTGGGCCCTCCCATCTGGGACATGATGATGCCCTCCTCTGGGACATTGCTTCTGAGTCTCCTTGGGCAACTGTGCAGTGCTGAAAGAGCATGTATCTGTAGGGGGAGCTGGGGTGGGCTCAATCAGAGAGCCTAGACCTTGTTATATGACTAGTTCTCCTGATGGGGCTTTGTATGACCTTAGGTGGGTCATTTTGTCTCTGAGTCTCTCTGCTCTGCTTTTCATTCATTCACCAAATACTTACCAAATGCCTTCCATATGCCAGGCACCATTCAAGGCACTGAGGTCACAAGAATGAAGAAGCGAGAACAGGTCTTTGCCCTTAGAGAACTCATATCTGTAAGAAGAAACAGATATTAAAACAAATAAACAATATCTGATAAAATTTCAGGTGGGGATAATGCCATAAAGAAACCACTGACCATGGAGTGCCTGGGTGGCTCAGCTGGTTAAGCATCTGACTTGGGCTCAGGTCATGATCTCGTGGTCTGTGAGTTTGAGCCCCACATCGGCTCTGTGCTGACAGCTCAGAGCCTGGAGACTGTCTTCGGATTCCATGTCTCCCTCTCTCTCTGTCCTTCCCCTGCTCACACTGTCTCTCTCTCTCTCTCTCTCTCTCTCTCTCTCTCTCTTTCTCTCTCTCTCAAAAATAAATAAAACCAAAAAAAAATTAAAAAAAAAAAAAAAGGAGACAATTGACTATATGAGAGAAGCAAAGGACCCGGAGGCCATCACCAATTTTGGTGGATGCTAAGGAATATCAGAAATCAGTCAAAGTTCTGCTTGGACTCCTGTTTTGAACAATATGTGGTTTTCCTTTTTTTTTTTTTTTTTACCTTTATTTATTTTTTCAGAGAGCAAAAGAGAGAGCAGGAGAGGGTCAGAGAGAGAGGGGGCCTAGGGGCTCCAAAGTGGGCTGCACACTGACAGCAGAGAGCCCAAGGTGGGGCCTGATCCCATGAACTGTGATATCACGACCTGAGCCAAAGTCAGATGCTTAACTGACTGAGCCACCTACATGCCCCTGAATAACTGTAATTCTTAACTTTAGGATCTTTTGGTGCAAGGAATATATGTAACAATTTAATTGTTCAATTACAAAATATATCTTTCTCAGTGAAATACTGCTTTATGGCTACAATCCATATCAATATCAAATATGGTTTTCATACAGATGGATTGGAAATGTATCAAGTCAAATCCACCCAAATAACAGCACAAGGGCTGAGAAAAGAGAGAAGGCCAAGCTTATCAGCAAATCTGACATTTTATTAAACAAAGTGTAGCCGGAGTCAGAGGCCCATGTGCTAAAGCCAGAAGCAGAAAAAAAAATGAATAAATGAATAAATAAACTATCTAATACCTGTTTCTCTCCCCCTGAAAAGAGCTGTATACTGCCTTAAAGAAGGAAGCAACCACTTTATAACAAATTCAGTAAGGGACAGCACTACAGTATGCCATTCATTCATTCATTCATTCGTTCATTGTACAAATATTGAGTACCTACTGTATGCCAACATTGTTACTATAAATAATGAAAGAAGGTGATATTTGGTAAGTCCAAAATAGTTCTCTATGTTTAAAATAGCCCTTATTTTACTTTTCAGGTTATAAAATAATAAAACGCTAAGAAATTGCTTTTTATAATTTTAAAGCTTAAAAATGTAATACAAGCCATCCTTTACTAAGCCAGGGCTTTTCAACCTTGGCACTATTGACATTTGGGGATGGGAAATTCTTTGTTGTGGAGGCTGTCTTATATGCATCGTAGGATGTTCAGCAGCATCCCTGGTCTCTGCCCACTAGACGCATCAGTGTTAACACACACCAGTTGTTAACATTAAAAATGCCTCCAAGCTTTGCAAATGCCCCAAGGAGGCAAAATCTCGTGCGTGAGAAGTGCTACTGTAAGCAATCCACTTTGCTCCCACAATAGGGAGCTCAGAAATGAAGTCTTAAGGAGAGGCCCCTTTTTTCCTCCGGGCAAATAAACAGGAGATTTCCACCTGGAAGAGCCCTGGCACTGCCCTTCCCTTCTTAATGCCAACACACCAACCCTCTGGAGAAAGGCAGCACTGTCCCAAGTCTGGGAGGGGAGGACGGGCAGGCTTGGGCTCTGCTAAAGGGATCAACCAGCTTCTGAAGCTTACACTGCGTGCGTCATGGCTGCTGATCCAGGCCGTGCCCCAGCCCTGGGCTCGTCCAAATGAGCTTTGCTAACAAGCCTGAGAGAAAAGCTTCCCCTGTTTGAGGCTTACACACCCACATGTGAGTCCAGTGGTCTAAGCCAGGCAGATTAAAACTGTGCCTGTCTATCTTGAGCACTGTTATGAGCGAGTCTCCAAAGCTGGAAGCAGGGCACGCCTGCCTGTCCTTGTCCTTCTATAAGGACTTTACAAAGAGCCCATTGTGCACAACCTAATCTGAGATAGAACTAATGCACCTGCCTACCCATTTACTCCCAGCTTTGGCTGGTTCTTCAGAGCAAACTCTAGTTGTATAGAAGCAAACATTTTGAGTTGATAGAAAATGTCAACATGAGCCCAAATCAGGCACAACGTTTGTAGGTGCCTGTAATCTGGGTCCTGGCTGCTTAGAACAAAAGGGAAATTAGTCTCGTGTGTTATAACTTAGTAAACTCAGATTCAACGGTTCTCAGTCACAAAAAAGAGAGCTGAAGAAACAGGGAGAGGGTAAGAGAATCCAGGTTCTACTTTTATTCACTAATTTCCTAAATATTTGTTGAGTCCCCGTCATATGCCCAACACTGTGCTCTATACGTGGGGAGAACTCAGCTTTAGATGGAAAGTTTACAGGCCACTCTTCAGCTCCAGCTGCTTGCTGTCATAATTATCTATAAGTCAGTTTTGCAAGATCTTCTGAATTTCCAAGAGAAACCAGGAAACATGATTTTTATGTAAAACCTTTTAAGTTTTAAGCATAGATTAAAATTTTAAAGCAAAAACAGAACAAAAAAATCCCTTGAGGACAAATCCAGTTTCCAAGGCTTCTAGTGTAGAGGCAGTGAGAAGCAGTAGTTAAGAGTGAGGTACTCTGGGGGCATGTGGATTTCAACTCAGGTCATGACCTCACAGGTTCACGGGATTGAGCCCCGGCATAGGTCTCTGTGCTGACAGCGTGGACTCTACTTGGGATTCTCTATTCTCCTTCTCTTTCTGCCCCTCCCCTGCACACACACACACTTTCTCTCTCCTGCTCTCTCTCAAAATAAAAAAATAAACTTTTAAAAAAAAGAGTGAAGTACTCTGTGATGAACACTGAGTAATGTATAGAATGGCTGAACACCTGAAACTAATATAATACTGCATGTTGATTATCTTGAAATTAAAATTACAAACTTAATTTTAAAAAAGTGACATACTCTGGCTCCACCTCTTGCTTCCTGTGTGACCTTGGGCAAGTTATCTAAGCTCTTTGTGCCTGTGCCTTACTCTCCTCATGTGTAAAATGAGTATGATAAAGCATATTGTAGATTTAAATGTGAGAATACATGTACATGCCTGATCTATAATATCTCAGTAAATGTGAACTATCATTTTTTTAAGTTTATTTATTTATTTTGAGAGAGAGTGTGAGCTGAGGAGAGGCAGAGAGAGAGAGAGAGAAAGAGAGAGAGTCTCAAGCAAGCTCTGAGCTGTCAGCACAGAGCCTGATGTAGGGCTCAGTCCCACAAATCGTGAGGTCATGACCTGAGCTGAAATCAAGAGTTAGACGCTTGACTGACTGAGCTACCCAGGCACCTTGTGAACTACTAGTTTTATAAGTCATTTGCTACAACAGGAATCTTTTACAGCAGCCTTGAGAGTTGAACATTTAATCACCGTTCATGTATATCCTGGGACAGGAAGCTCATGACTTCTTAGGGAATGCCAGTTGTATAACAACCTCCATTGATGGCTTAATCCAATGTATGTTCATTTATTGCTCATGTCCCAGTCCAATGTAGTCAACACAGAGTGCTCTATTCTACTCCATGCCCTTTGAATCCACTTACCTCCTATCTGGTGGCTTTACCATCCCCAAGGACCTTCCCAGATTCCTCTCCTGGGTTCTCTGCTTTCAGCCAGCTAAGAGAGTGAAAGAGAAAAAGAGAGAAATTGAGAGAATATCAGGTGTATTTCATCTGCACATTATAATTTGCTAGAACCCTGTTACATGGCCCCAATCTAATTGTAAAGGAAGTTAGGACATGAAGTGTTCCTCTGCATCAAGGAAGAAAAACTAGCATCGGTGAACTTCTAAACAATCTCTGCCATGCTATGCATTCACAGAAACACAATTATGCAAACTTAAAATGTTATCTGTTTGTCCCTGGCTTGCCCTTCTTTGCAACATGTCCAGGAGAGCAGGAACACACAAGTGTGGGAACAGATAGGTTTGGATTTGAAACTCAGTTTCTATACTTGCTCAGTCCAATACTATGGACCTTGGGCAAATTCCTTTAAGTCTCTGTGTGTCAGTTTCCTCATATGACAAATGAAGATTGCCATTACCTCCCTGGGTTGTTGTAAGGATGGATAAGTTAATGTATGTATTAGCATACTACATAATATCTGGTATATAACCTAGAAGGTGCTCATTTAATGCTGGTCTCCTCTTTCACATGAATGGTATCCAGGTATTTAAAGATGACTATGATTATTTCTGTTAAGTTTTCTTTTCTCACAGTTTCATCAGCTAGTTTCATTATTTTTATGTGAGAACCTTTCTTGAATCATAATATTTATTCATGGCCATCACATGTTCCTTGGGGGAAAAAAAAAAACAAAAGATAAAATAACTATCACTGTAATCCCTACACTCAGACACAACTTTTGTGAATGTGTGGGCTGGATTCTCCCAGACATTTTTGTTAGAGGCTCTGTAGCACACTCACTGTCCTGATGACCAACTCATGGAAATATCCCAGTTTGTCCAGGGACCACACATGATACCTGCCTTAGTTTAGGTTTCTCTGAATGCAGACCCTGAAACAAGATTTGGGTGCAGAAAATTTAGGGGGGGGATGTTATCTTAGGAAGCATACGTGAAGGAAAGGGGCAAGAGAGAAAAGTCAATAAATGAGTGGGTTACAGTTTGGGAAACGGGTTCAATCCCACAGGGGGCTCTGAGGAACCATGCAGAAGTCATCTTAGAATTGTCCCATTCTATGCCCTGCAAGATGGAAAGGCTGGGCCATTTATCCATGAGATCCTGCTCTTATTGGTTTAGGGCTGCCTCCAACCAGGGGGTATTAACTGCCTTGAAATTATAGGTTGTGTCTACATGTAGCTGAGCAGGCTTTCCAGGCTTCTAGAATGCAAAGGTGAGAGACACTGTGATATGATCTTGTATGGACACTGGCAAAGTCCATGGCAATGTTCATGCCACAGCTGTGTTGAAATCTGGGGGCTGAAGGATGTGGCTCAATACATCATAACCTGTGCTACAGAGCCTCTAACAAAAATGTCTGGGAGAATCCACCCCACACATTCACAAAAGTTGTGTCTGAGTGTAGGGATTACAGTGATATTTTATCTTTTGATTTTTTTTCCCCCAAGGAACATGTGATGGCCATGAATAAATATTATGATTCAAGAAAGGTTCTGACTGGTGCAGAACAGAAGATGTAATAGTTCACTAAAAGCAGACTAAGGATAAAAAAAAGAAGTAAAACTGCTTCTATTCATAGATGACATCATCCTGTCCATAGACAATCCCAAGGAACACAGGTGCCTGGATGGCTCAGTCAGTTGAGCATCTGACTCTTGATTTCAGCTCAGGTCATGATCCCACAGTCATGCGGTTGGGGCCGACAATGAATACAGAGCCTGCTTAAGATTCTCTCTCTTTCCACCCTCTTCCCCTTGCCTTCATTCGCTCTCTCTCTCTCTAAAATAAAAAATAAAAAAAAGTAAAATATTAAAAAAAAAAAAAAGAAAAACCCTGGGGCGCCTGGGTGGCTCAATCGGTTAAATGTCCAACTCTGGCTCAGGTCATGATCTCGTGGTCTGTGAATTCAAGCCCCGCATTGGGCTCTGTGCTGACAGCTCAGAGCCTGGAGCCTGCTTTGGATTCTGTGTCTCCCTCTCTCTCTGCCCCTCTCCCACTTGTGCTCTGTCTCTCTTGCTCTCAAAAATAAATAAAACATAAAAAAAATTTTTTAAAGGAAATCCCAAGGAATCCACACACAAAATGACCAGAATTAATAAATGAGTTTAGCAAAGTTGCAGGATATAAGATCAATATTTGAAAATCAATTTTATTTCTACATTAGCAAAGACAAATCAAAAAATGAAATTAAAAAATTCTATTCACAAAGCATAAGCAGAATAGAATATGTAGAAATAAATTTAATAAAAGAAGTACAAGACTTGTATGCTAAAAATTATAAGATGTGACTAAGAGAAATTAATGAAGATTCAAATAAATGGAGAGATATTCCCCATTTATGGAATTGGAAGACTCAATATTGTCAAAATAGAAACTCTTCCCAAATTAATCTATATATTCAACACAATCTCTCTCAAAATCCTAATAGTTTTTTATTTTATTTTTTGTCTTTTTTTTTAAGTTCATTTTTTTTAGTAATCTCTATACCCAGTGTGGGGCTTGGATCCACAATCCCAAAATCAAGCATTACATGCTCTTCTGACTGGGCCAGCCAGGCACCCTCCCCCACGATAGCTTTTTAAACAGAAATTGACACAATGATCCTAAAATTTATATGGAAATGCATAGTATAGTCAAAACAATTTTGAAAAAAAGATGGAAAACTTATATTACCTGATTTCAAATTTACTATAATACTATGAATTGACACAGTGTGGAATTGGTGCAAAGACAGACATATAGACCAGTGGATGAGAACTGAGACTATAAAACTTCTAGCAAAAAACATACCAGAAAATCTTGGTAACTTTGGGTTGGACAAAGAGTTCTTAGATATAACTCCAAAACATGACACTTAAAAAATGATAAACTGGACTTCACCAAAATTAAACATTTGTACTTTAAAATATCATTAAGAAAAAAAAAATTTTGGGGGGCGCCTGGGTGGCGCAGTTGGTTAAGCGTCCGACTTCAGTCAGGTCACGATCTCGCGGTCCGTGAGTTCGAGCCCGCGTCGGGCTCTGGGC